GACACAAACTGGCTCACCAGTTGAACTAGATATGATATATCCGACTGAGTCATGGTGAGATAGATTAAACTCCTCACTAGTTGACGATAAAGAACAGGATCTTCTAGAAAAAAAAAAACCATCATCTTTGCTGAGTTTCAAATTCAGTTCTAGTGGCGTATCCACAATCTTGGAGTCACTGAGATTGACCAGTTTAACTGGCCACATACTTTTGTTGGTTAACAAAATAGCCCCGAGAGTTTCAGCTCACTTCAAGCCCTAAGAACTATGTCAAACGCCCCAAGTCCTTCATCTTAAAGGATTTACTGAGTAACTGTTGCAGCTTAGCAATTCCTTCTACACCATCCCCTATAATGAGTTTATCATCGACATAAAGAAATAAGATCGCCACTCCCTGCTTCCACCTTAAAATGAATAAAGAATCATCTGAAGAACTCTGGATAAAGGCTGTATCAGTGATAACAGATCTGAACTTCTCAAACCAGGCTCTAAGAGCTTGCTTCAAGCCATAGAGTGACTTCTTCAAATGACAAATAAGTTGTGGGTCTGTACAATATCCAGGAAGGGGCTTCATATAGACTATCTCCTTCAACTCCCCATGGAGGAAAGCATTCTTTACGTCCATCTGATGGATTGTCCATTGTTTGGCTGCAGATATAGCCATCAGAAGTTGTATAGTGGTCATTTTTGCTATAGGAGCAAACGTCTCCTCATAGTCTATCCCATATTCTTGTTTATAGCCTTGTGCAACCAACCTAGCCTTGTATCTATCTAGGCTCCCATCAGGTTCCAGTCTCAAGAAGGGCTCGGATCTTAGAATTCATGGCATATTTCCAGTATAGTTCTACTACAGCCTGCTGGTAAGATCTGGGAATGTCTGTGGTAGATAAAACAGCAGAGAAGATGGTCAGGTGAAAAACCATAGTGGTCATGTAGGCAAGAAATTCTAGAAGAATGACATAAAGTGGGTACAGTGGGTTCAAGTGGAGGATCAAATGCACTTACTGGGGCAATTGGAGTGACTGGATCAACAACTGGTGGTGGAGCGGAGGGGGGGCATTGAGACTGAAGAAGACTGTTGCTTCCTAAAGTAGGTCTGGAGTTGTTACAGAGGTGATATTGGTATGCTTGAGGTACTTGTAGAGTCAAAACTATGCAACAAGGGAGTGGAAGGAGCTAAATTTTACAATATGTTCAAAAAAAGACACTCTCAAAGAAAACTACATTACGAGATATTCGAATACGACAGACCGAAGGATCATAGAAAAGGAATCATTTATGTTCAGAATTGTAACCCATAAAGGCACACAAAACCGCTTGTGTAGTTACCTTTGTGTGCTAATGAGGTGGAAGGTGAACGCACACATATTCGGGCATCAAATTGGGTAGTAACATAAGCATGAAAGTGCTTAAATACATAATAAACTTCAGATTTCTTTCAAAGAAAATAAGCCCAAGTGAAACGGGTGCAGTCATCGATAAAGTTTACAAAGTACTTATAACCTAACCATGAGACAACAGGAAACGACCAAACATCACTATGTATTAAATGAAAAGGAATTGTAGCATGCTTAGAGTGAGAAGGAAAAGATAAAATATAAATCTTACATAAACCACAAGTAATGCAATCTTTATTAACATTCTTAAAGGAAATAGCAGAAACAAGTAAACTACCAAAAGCAAATAACTGATCAAGTTTCTTAGAAAACGGATGGCCAAGGTGTTTATGCTACACATGCCAATCATTATTACAATTAAAGGACTTAAAACCAGAAGTAGTAGAAAGCAAACCAGAAGTAGTAGAAACGGGTGCAACCTTATTCTTCTCAAACTCCGAAGCAAATAGTCGTCCTAGTCTATGCCCACAAAGTAGTAGAAAGCAAACATCAGAACAAGGTTCAAAGTATCGATACGTATCAGCCCGTATCGGCCGATACGTATTGTGTCGATGGCTTACCGATACGCCCCTCCAGGGGTTGTATCGGGTCAGACACGGTTCAAAGGGTAGTCGGGCCTTAAATTGACCCCTCTAAATCAATTTAAAAAAAAATAAATAAAACAAAAAAAATGTACCGATACAGGCCGATACGCCCTATGTTGATACTTTGAACCTTGCATCAGAAGTGAATGAGATAGTGTTACCTTCCTCTACAAGTTGGCCAACAGAAATTAAATTGGTGGTGAGCTTAGGTACAAATAAAGTTTTGGATAAATGAAATAAAGATGACTTAGAGGTAGATAAATACAAATCATCACAGCCAAGTATATCTAATTTTTCACCATTTGCAGGTGATAATGTGTTTATTGGGATGGGATACTGACCGAGTGTGACCCCTGTCATATGGTTAGAGGCTCCTGAGTCAATATACCAAAGGTGATTTGGTGAAGGACAATAGGTTGGTGACTTACCAGACAGGTCAATAGCAAAGAAGGCTGAGGACATAAGCTGTTGAATCCGTTCTTCAGACATGCCACCAGAGGTGTCATTTTGGACAGCCACAGAAGTAATGTAAGAGAAGGTATCTGATCCATCTACAGTAGTCTGATAGACCTTGTAGCTTCCTTTCTTTTGATTTGATCCACCACTTTTCTGAGGCCGAGTAAGGCATTCAGTAATGATATGGCCTAACTGGTTGCAATAAGTGCATGTATTCTTTTTCTTGCAATGGGAGACAACATGCCCAAACTCCTTACATTCATAGCACTGTACTTTAGAGAAGTCCTTCTCTTTCGGTTTTGTTGCCAGGAAGACAGTATCAATGTTGGAATCTTTACTCCCATCAAGAGTGGTCTATGTAGCAAATCTAGTTTTAGCTCTCAGAAGAATAGTATCTAAGGGTCTGAATTTGAAAGTACAATAATTACATTAAGAGGTATATTGGTATTGGTGAACTTTTCTTTCCTCTAAACTCTGAATGCAGAGAATGTTGTTCTGAATTCTAAATTATGAAAATTATCAAATATCCATTTTGACCTCATATATGAGAAGTTTTGTTTGTCTTTTTTGGGGGTATCATTAGAAAACAAAAAGTTGTCTGATTGCACTTTAAGAGATAAGAGGAAACGAACAACCATTTTTCTCTTACAGTTAAAAGATTCCTCTTAAGAGATAAGAGTTAAGAGGAAACAAACAGGCCCTAAGTCAGAAAGTATTCCTTTGCTCAGGACATTAGATCTGTCAACTTCAAACTCAGGCCTGAGATGCATTAGAAAATGCATAATCTTCTATCAAAGTGTTTCTTCATATACTTCATCCAACAGTCCAACGGATCCTTTCCCATGTATACTAACTCATACTCTGTCCAGAGGTTAATAAACCCTGCATAGTATTCCTGGACTTTCCTTTCTCCCTGATAATATGAGAAGATGTCAACCTCTATTTGGTACTATCTAGAGGTGTTCGATTGCTGATAAACTTTCTCAAGGTACTCGTACATTTCATGGGCAGTCTTGTACCCTCTCATAGGGATTGCCATGTCAGTTTTGACTGATCCTAGGATCCATGATGCAATTTTTGCATTGTCAATCTTCCACTGATTAAGACCCTTAATATCTGAATCATCAGGTTTAGCTACAGAATCATCAGGTTTAGCTACAGAACCATCCAGATATCCTCAAAGACCCTTGACTTTGACATGGAATTGAAAGTTAAACTTCCATAAAGCATAGTTTGTGACATTGAATTTAATAGGAAGAACCTCCATCCTTTCTGATGCCATTGAAGGACAAAAGACAGCAATGCACACTTCCAGGAAATCAATAAAATTCGAACCAGATGATAGAATTCAGCCGAGGTCCAAAAAAGGTAACTGTAGTATTCTGCCGAACTGAAAAGTGGATTGAAACCCTTCAAAATCAAAATTGATGCAAACCAAACCAAAAGGATTCAGTAGATCTGCTCTGGACGAAACTAGATCTAAGATTTCAGGCTGATCTGATGTCTCTACAAGGAGATCCAAGAAGAAGGAGAAATCTGATGACGCAACAGTCCAGAGAAATGATCTATAAAGTTCAGATCTGAAGCTTCTCTAGGAAGAAGATTCAAAGACACTCAGTTAGAGAGTTCTTGAGACAACAGAAACAGAGATGATTGAAAAGATACTATATGCAGATCAGATCATGACCTGCTCTGATACCATGTCAGAGTCAAGTCAAAATGGCAGAAATAGAAGAGAGAAAATAACAAACAGTTTGGTGGGTGTGTCACCTTGTGACTGTCGACACCCTAAAAAAGATCTTTATATTAAAGAAAGCAAAAGGACAAATCTGCCCTTAGTGTACAAAAGAAAGAGTACAGAAAATGGATGTACAACAAAAGAAGTAAAAGCACAGAAATAGCCCTGAGGCTAGATCTTCTCACTTTCTCTACAAAAGTAACAACAACAATTTACTTTTTTTGTTTTTTTCTCACTTCAAACATGTTTTTTCAGATAGGTAGCGCTTCCTTATTTTGTAATGATTTCTCTATCTGTTGTTTTTGTTCTTTCATAATTTTAGATGATTAAAACTAGGCAAGCAAACTGCAAGCTACTAATCCTCGTAGTTTGACCTTCAATTAACATCTCAAAATATTTGTTGTTCTCCATTTAGCAACTGATGGTAATGCAGTTTTACCAAATTTCTTGCTAGAATATTTTGGTTAGCTTCATCTAAGTTTTGAAACTTTAAAAAATAAAGCTCCTCAAAAGTACAAATCTATATTCATAATAATTCATTTGGTGATGAGAAACCTGATTGCACTAATTTGTTGTAGATTTTTTGTTGGTATATCGCCATTGTCTTTGTAAGGATATTACTAATACTTGGACCTTGTCTTTTAAAAGTTTAAGAGGAGAAAAAATCTCAGTAAAGTAAAAAACATATGAGGTTAATAAAGAAATTTAGCATGTAAAAAGAACACATTTTCATAGCAAGAATAGTTGCGCTGTCCTGCTTAAAACAGGATGATCATATGGCCCCATTGACTTCATCCCAGATACTTTGATAAAAAGTTAATTTACCTGCATCAGGATCAGAGCAACAGCCTCACCAGCAGGTGCAAGGTAGCCAAATTGTGCGGGAAATAAAGTTGCCAAAATTACCACAATTGTTGTTATACATGGAAGGCTACCTCCTTGAATTGCAAATAACTTTGTCAGATAAGTGCCAGTTTTGCAGATGAAGAAGGCCATGGCAAGAGCAGTAACAGTTTGTAGTACAGGGAGCTTGTTTCTGGCCGCAGACTTCGTATCCATCAGACCAGCTACCAACATTAAGAAGTTTTATCAGAAAATATCATTAAAAATGTCCTCTTTTATCATAATTTTTAATCAGAAATTACAGATCACACTATTAACTTTTGAAAAAGGTATCTGGTTATCAAGATTTTCAAATAACATAATCAGATCATTTTATAGTAACACGAGCAGCAGCCTTATGCCTAAATAGGTTTAATACCCAAAACAGGTATATCATTGCACCAAAAAATATCAAGCAGCTAACAACCAAAACAGGAAGAAGTTTAATGCATTGAAAAATGTAAAGGGATAATACTTTCAGCAACCTATAAACATATCTAATCTCAGTAAGAATTTGAAGTACATCATAGATGGAGACATTGGTGGAAATATGACCAAAGAACAGTTAAATGTGCACACACACATAGAGAGAGAGAGAGAGAGAGACCAACATTCATGATGCACCTTAGTTGATCTCAGACTTTCAGGAGGTATTTTAGATGATAGCACAAAGAGTAATGTAAAATATACAGCACAAACAACATTGTCCACAGCTAGTCCAGCAGCCAAAACTGAGGGAGTAATGCCAAGAGCCTCCGAAATAGCAACATAGTTAACAGCTACAGAAAATCAAGGACAAAACTCCATCGTTAGTCACAAAGAACATAAGAAAAAGAACTATTCAATCAAACCATCCAAGAAACCAAGACATGTAAGCAAGAACATTAAAAGTGAACCACCAAAAATCATTAAAATCCAGGAAGAATCCAAAGAATACAAAAATACAACTCAAATTTATCTAATAGAATATTCAGGACCTCAGTTTTAGCCCACCCACCACCAAACACTTTAATTTACAAGATAGCTAAAAAGAACAAACTGAACCTAATTACTCAGAGAAAGACAGAAAAATAAATTATCAAAATGCTCTTAGAATTTAGTCAATATAGTTCTTTAACATGACAAAACCATATTTCTCATGTCAAACTGGAAAGAGAAATACAACTTAGATATAATGAAATCACTTTGTATCTAATGAGGGTTGATGGTTGAGATTTCTGGAAGGTAATACAGATGATGCCATACTGACCTATTAAACAGGCATGGCTCAGGTAGCAGAGTCTAGGAACCGAAACCCAGCAAATAACACAGAACCCAAAGTAGCCTTGCAAAATATGGGAATCAAGTTCCTTGAAGATGTGCATGTGCAATCATAGTGCTGCTTTTTCTTTTTGGTCCATAACTTGATTCCAGAGTTTTTTCATGGCCTGCTCAACCTACTATGGTTATCATGTAGGTTACATGGGCGATGTGGTACATGTGGAACAGATCCTATATGATGAGTTACCGCTCACCTCGGAAGCCCCTTCGAGGGTGGCTTAACCTCCTGAAACAGAAAATGGGGGGGAGGGGAAAGGTAGGAAGAAAATGACTCAGAGAGAGATGAAAGGGATATTCATTCACGCCACTTATTACATGATCAGGGCCTTATATAGCTGGCCTACATGTATGCAATCATGGAGAGAATATCTTCTGGTGGTAGTGTAACTAACTCTGGGAGGCTCCGAGTGTAACTAACTCTAGGAAGCTCTGCCATGTGTCACGCTAGCCTCTCTGTCTTCTAGTGAAATGCTGTTTGGTGGAGGCCTGCTCCACTCCTACAGTTGGGTTCGGAGGGAGTGTTTGGGTCCCAACAATTCCTCCCCCCTTAGCATTGACCTTGCCCTCAAGGTCTAGGTTTGGAAACCTCTCGTTCAGCCTCAGATAAGGTTCCCAAGTGGCAACATCTGGAGGAAGCCCAGCCCATTCTACCTTGGCTTCTGGCACAACCTGACCACCTCGACGAACCCAACGAAAATCCACAATTCTGATAGGCTCCGTGTCAATGTCCCCTTCTTCAGTGAATTGGGGTAAGTTGGGTGAGACAGGTATATGATTTCCCACCGCCTTCTTAAGAAGTAAGATGTGAAACACTGGATGAAGCTTTGAGGTTGCAGGGAGGTCCAACCGATAAGCATCAAGGCCCACTCTCATCAGAACCTTATAAGGCCCATAATACCTGGGTACTAGCTTGTGCCAAGCCCGTCTTACTACCGAGATCTGACGGTAAGGTTGGAGCTTAAGGTAAACGAAGTCACTCACCTAAAATTCTAATGGGCGGTGGTGAGTGTCATAGCGGGCCTTCATTCGCTGTTGGGCTTTTGTCAGGTTGGACTTAAGCAATCTAAGAATCTCGTCTCTAACAAGTAGACGGGTCTCTACTTCTACCACCTTGGATGACTCATATTCATAAGGTAATATAAGAGGAGGTTCTCTGCCATATAGAGCTTTGAAGGGTGTCATTCTAGCAGCCGACTGATAAGTCGAATTGTACCAGTACTCTGCCCACGGAAGCCAGTGAGCCCACTGTCGAGGCTTTTCCCCTATGAAACATCTAAGGTAGGCTTCCAAGCAACGATTAAGAACTTCAGTCTGCCCATCAATCTGCGGGTGATAACTCGTGGAGGGGTGCAGTTGGGTTCCTTGCAGCTGAAAATATTCCTTCTAGAATGAACTCAGGAAAGCAGGGTCCCGATCTGAGACAATGGATCTTGGGGTTCCATGCAGCTTGGCGACGTCCCTGATGAAGATGTCAGCCACCATTGCTGCAGTGTAAGGGTGAGGTAATGCAGAAAAATGGCTGTACTTGGTGAGATGGTCAACCACTACCATGATAACCTCCTTTCCTGCAGAACGAGGAAGACCCGTGATGAAGTCCATGGAAAGGTCTTCCCACACTTTATCTGGAATCTTAAGGGGTTGTAGAAGGCCAGCAGGAGACTGTGACAAGTATTTCTGCTGTTGGAAGGTTTGGCATTCGGATACATAGTGCAATACATCCTTACGCATTCCTACCCAATGATAGTGACTGTTGAGCCTCTTTAGGGTCCGTAGCACCCTTGAGTGCCCTCCGAAGGCAGAGTCATTAAACAACCTTAGAAGTTCAGCTTTGTGGGCCAAATTCTGGGCAACAACAAACCGACCCCTAAAGAAAAGATCAGGCCCCACAACTTGGTAACCAGCAACTTGTGAAGGGTCTCGCCTCCACTTATCTCTAATGACCTGCAACTGCGGATTAGACCTGGTTTCTCGCCGTATAGCTTCAAACAAAGGGAAGCTGGGCTGAGAGCAGGTCAGATGGGCTAACTCTTCTACTCGTGACAAGGCATCAGCTACTTTGTTTGCGAGCCCCAGCTTATATTCTATGAGGTAATCAAAGCCCATCAGTTTACTAAGCCATTTTTGCTGCTCCGGGGTGTGCACCCTTTGCTCTGCTATGTACTTCAAACTTCGTTGGTCTGTCCTTATAACAAATTGGCGCCCCAATAGGTATGCACGCTACTTTTGCACTGCCATTACCACAGCCATCATTTCTTTGACATAAGTGGACTAATTTTGGTGAGCTGCTGAGAGAGCCTTGCTGAAATAAGCAATGGGCTACCCCTTCTGCATCAAGACGGCCCCTACTCCTACACCCGACGCATCACATTCTATTTCAAAGGGCTAAGAGAAGTCTGGAAGAGTGAGGACTTGAGGGCTAGAAACTGCTGTCTTCAAATCTTCAAAAGCCCGTTGGGCTTTATCAGTCCAACTGAAGGAATCCTTCTTTAATAGACGCGTTAGAGGGGCGGCATAAGCCCATACCCCTTAATGAAGCGCCTATAATATCCGGTAAGCCCAAGAAAGCCCCACAGAACCTTTACAGTAGTGGGCTTGGGCCACTTCTGGATGGCGTCTACCTTTTCTGGGTCTACCATGACCCGACCTGCTGCAACCACATGGCCTAAGTATTGAATTTGTCCTTGTCCAAAGGAACACTTTGTCATTTTAGCATGTAACTGGTGCCCCCTTAGAGTTGTGAGGGTGAGTTTCAGATGTTCCATATGTGTGTCCCAATCCCTGCTGTACACCAGAATATCATCGAAAAACACCAGAATAAATCACCTTAGGAATGGCCTGAAGATGTCATTCATGAGGGCCTGAAAGGTGGAGGGGGCGTTGGTGAGTCCAAAAGGCATAACCAAAAACTCATAATGGCCATCGTGGGTCCTAAAGGCCGTCTTGTGGATGTCGGCCTGGTGGACCCGAATCT